CAGTGCTAAAACATACTGTGAGTTGTGAAAGCATCACCTGATTATTAAATATGAGTTAGGACTTGCCACACAAGGAAACTTATTGATATAATTGCACTGGTGTAATTATGCTCAGACGATTTCCTGTGTCGACAAGCCCTTCGATGCAACCGCTTTGGCCCCTTCTTATTCAGTAACTCATTAGGCCTCTGACTGCACATTAAAATTGCATAATTCTCAGCTAAAAAATCTTCAACCTGCACGTTTAACGCCCTGGCAGCACTTCCAGTGTGCTGGGCAGACCAGCAGTTGAGCTTTAAAAAATGATGAAGAATGAAGGACAAAAGAAATGAACTCTCCCAGTCTGGGGAATGGTTGTGGAGCAAACGGTCCTGAAAAATATCATTACATAATTGTGTGGATTTTGGAGTAGACATGGCTCATCCAAGTGTGTGGCTCATTCACACCTTTTATAGACTTGGAGTGTCTTGGCCTGTCTGCTCCTTGAGTCACCCTTATCTCTGATTTTGATCCCCAGCAATGGCTGGAGTAGGAGCACACACACAGCCAGCTTTGGGTTTGCAATAGCTTTCAATTAGCAATTTTATTTTTTTTTTTTTTACTAAAACCACATTTCTGTGATTGCTCAGTGTTCTTCTACAGCTGCCTTTCCCCCACCACTCTCTTTTGACAGAAGAATTTTGTTGGATTATTATTTTTATTTGATAAAACTGCCACAAGACTGTTACTTTTCTAGTATCTGTCTTTGCTAGGTTTTCTTTCTTTCTTTTTTTTTTTGGTAGAAATTGCTGTTTTTAAGATTGATAACTATGAACATTTAGTTTATGGAAATAGGATGAATTATAATGGGAAGTCTGTGTTTTTTCCAGATAAAAATAAGCCTAAAGGCAGGATACTGTCACCTCATTATTCCACACCCAGCTTACCTTAATTCACACTTGAAAATGGGGCTCTTGATGGTCTCAATCATCATATCAAGGCTGAAATGTTCTCATTATTCATTGTATGGTCTAGCAAATAAGTGAGGAGCTTCCAATACTTTATCACATGGATGCTCCAGTTGATTAGTCTTTCATCTTTTTTTCTAGTTCCTTCTTTCCTTGACAGCACTTTAAAAGTAGAATCCAGGAATGCATGTAGATTTTCCAGTGCTTTGGGATACTGTCTCTCCCAAAGCATCATCTATGTTCATGATGGTGTCTCCATGTGCATTGGGATGTGAATTTTGGCAGGTTTCCTGGGGCAGGGCATCACTTCCAGCTCTGATGTCCAGTGGCATCCTCTGTAACACGCCTCACCATGCTGCAAAAGCTTCCCAGTAGGAACCTTTGCACTAAGGAAAGCATTCCTGTGTCCATACAGCTTCTGTCACATTGAAAAGTGAGTGATGGGAATTCTGCAGGAGTCCTTGGACAGGGAGTTGGGGCAGCTGAATCACTTTGAACGTTGCAATTGCATCTCATGATCAAGGCTCAAGGCTTCTATCATGTTTTGATACAAGGTGGAGCCTTATCCCTCTGTTCTGTCAGCACCAAATTCATTCTGTAATGCTACACTTTGCAGCTGGTTGCTGTAGTAAGTTTAACACAAGATAGTGTGGGTTTGCATTCTTAATTTGAGGCAGTAGTCCAAAAAGTGACTTCAGATCAATGGCTGTATTATTTAGCTTTTTTCCCCCTGGAGTTCAATTCCCACCCCTCAGCTCTGTAGTTAACACAGAGTCTCTGTTTGAGGCGGCAGAAATGTAGGCTGAGTGCTTATCGGGTCAGTGCTGCTGTTTAATAAACAGTACTTATCTCCTTGAAGCAACACCCTGCCCTAAATAAGTTTGCCTTGGGAGTTGAGCCAGAAATAGCTTCCTTTTTTTTTTTTTTTAAATTTTTTTTCTTTAATTGGATCGTAAAAAAGAAATCATTGAAAAACTGTTTCAAACGAAAATGCAGGTGGCAGTGGTGCTGCTTTCTGAACAGCTTGGTGCTTTTTTTTTCCCCCCCTCCATGAGTCATGCAGGTTGTAAAACTGTGTTCACATCTTTCCCCAGGAGTTGTGCCTCTCTCAGCATTTCATCTTATTCTCAAAACTGAGTCTGTGCCCTCACTTTTATTCACTGAAATGCCAGTGGAGGGATGTGGTGATGTTGTTTGGTGATGGCCAACATGTCTTTGTGTTGGTCCCTGAACAATTACAGATATGGCTCCACTGTGCCCCTGTGAAGCAAAACCCAATCCCATTTTAATATAGAGGGAGGAGGGTCTATTGCTTAATTACAAAATTACTTTAATTGGCAGCATAAATAGCTTGTTGGGGGTGTATATCCCCTTCCATGATACTTGTCTTTGTACTTCCAATTCCTAAGTTTAATTTTTTTTTTATTTCTGAAATCTAGTCATGATGTAGCACAAAAAAAGGAAGGGCAGCGAAATTAGGATGTGGAACTAGATACAGAAATGTTAGAAGGCCTAAAAATAAACAGGAAAGAGAAGGGAATTGCTCAATATTGATAGCAGTTGGCCAGGTAATAGTGGTAAGGACATGCCTGGAATGCAGAGTGTGGGTAACAAGCATTGGAAATGTTAAAATACAAATTCCAGGAGCCTGAGTGGAAAATTAAAATATTTTTGAATGGATGGTGTTATGGGGATCATGGAAATACACCAAAAAATCACAGAATAACGTTAATGATTAGGACATGATTTTCAAATTGGGACGTTCCGTTAGGGGAAGATGAAAATAAAAATATGTGCAGTGATGAGCTGTAAAGAATTCAGCAACAGAATGGCTGGAATCATATGTGGGAGACAGATTTCTTTGGGAAAAAGATGGTGAATGAGGTTCTGGAGGCGTAGAGGCAGGTGCTTGGTGCACATCCTCCTGATCGGATTGGGGGTGGATCATGGAAACCTTTGGCATATTGCAAGTGTAAATATTTGTGGGAGTATTTTTTCTGTTATTTCCAGCTGTAGTGATAATGCTATAAATAACTTTGTTAGGTGTCTTACCCACAGCAGAGGATACTTTTCCACCTAATGACACAGAAACTGTGAATTTGCCACACCAAACGAGGGGATGTGGTGATCACCTGAGTGAGTTAATCACCTTCAGAAAAATATGAAGGAAGGAGAGGGCCTGTAAGTGGTGGGAAAAAGTGAAAAGTCACGTCTGAGAAGTCAAGATGTGAGGGAATTAAGAAAAAAAGTTGCCAAAGGTTGAGCAGAACTAGCGAGCTGAGTATTTTGTCTTTCCTTCAGGGTTGGAAGTGGCCAAGGTCAGGTGCAGAGGCAGATGTGCTGCCCCTGGCAGGACTGGGTCCCAGATAACAGTCGAGCTGAGGTGACCCTTTGCTCCATTTCTCAGGGCAGGTGTTGGCACTGCAAAGGCAACTTGGATGGTTAATGTTAAAGTGAGAATTGCTGTATTGCTATTGAAGGCAAAACTGAAGTTTTAAGTCATGGAAATGCAGATCTTCAGCAACAAGTGTCCTTAATGGTTTGATGGAGTTAGTGTTGGAGAATCACAGGCTTTAATGGCAATGTTTATAAAAGAGAGGGGAAAAAGCAAATGGAATTTTGGTGGCATGACATTAAAAGGGTGGATGCCTCAGAATATGTTTGGGAGACAAGATCTGAAGCAGGATTTAAAAAAAATAATAATTTAACAAATCTGCCTAGCATGGTCCCAATATCAAACCAAGTTATCTGGATTCTGATGAAATATTTAGTATGTGGGGAAATTGGTGCTGAAAGTCAGGTTAGTAGGACCATAAAAATAAGGAGATATTGATGAGTGGGGAAACTGGCCATGGGGAGTCTTGAAGGGTAAAGTGGGGAAATGATGCTACTAATGATGGGAATGGTCTTATTATTTCATTAACAAGCTTTGCATAAATGTTAGGAATAAGTACGTGAAACTTCACTGTGGAGTATAGGAGGCATTGTCAGATTTATGAGAAGAGACTAACAGAAGTAGTATAGTCTAGAATTAAGTATTAAGTGGGAATTTGGTTTAAATCTAAAAATGCAGTCAGGAGTGCTCAATCTGAAGAAACACAGAGTATAACCTGCCAATGAATAAATAAAAATAGAAGGATGTTTCTGAGCGTTGAAGCATCACAGTTCTGGAACAGCTTTCCAGTAGGGAAAGCAAGGGTGGAAAAGTGGTGAGTGATCTGTTAATGAAGGGATGTGTGTTGTTTCTGGTGTTAGCAGAGAACTGAGTTTGATAATCCCAGGACACCACACCTGGCTTCTTACATAAGTAATGAGAAACCTCCTGGGTTATTTCACATGCGAAGGTTTTGCTGCAAGTTGTTATTGCTCCAGAGCACAGAACACCTGAGTACTGAGGCTGAAGTTTTCAGTACCTGAGTTGGTACCTCACACACTTCTCTGTGGATTTTAATGGAGTTTCCTAGATTGAAACAATGACAAACAGCTATTGTGCTTCTGCTTCATGTTGTCTGATCTATGTCTGATGTTTGAGCTCAAGAATTCAGTACAGCAGCAATAGAGTATTTGCTCTGATGGCTTCCTGTGGAAAGGAAGCAGTAGGATATAGTTAGTTCTAATACATAGTGTTTTCCAGAGAGCTGCAGCGTGGAGGAAAGTGGTGGAAACTCCATTTTATAGGTGTTTGCCTTAAATAAAAATGTTTAAGTGATTTGTTTTGAAACCAAGGTTCTTCCCTATAAGGAAGATCTTGGTTCTCACTTTCTCAGCAGTGCCCACTTGGACTATGACATGCCCACCTACCTGACTTGTAGTATAGGAAAATGCAACTGATTTTAAGATTCTGTTCAGTAATCAGGGCTAGGAAATACAGCAAATGGTGAACAAGCATGGGAAGAAGATAGAATTCATGGACTCCTGATAGCAGGGTTTTTTGATTATTTGTATTTTTGTATGCTTTTGATTGTTTAAAAAAAGCTACCAGTTGAAATGTGCTGTGATTCATTGTCAGATAGCCATGGGTAAATTTGTTGAGCTGTCAGTTTGATACAGCTGATGGCTAAGCTGTGCTTTCTCTCTGTTTCAGTGCTCACACCTCCTCCACCGTTGCCACCACCAATACAGGGATATGCCTTTAAACCACCTCCTCGACCAGATTTTGGCACTTCTGGGAGAACAATCAAACTGCAGGCCAACTTCTTTGAAATGGACATTCCTAAAATAGATATCTACCATTATGAATTGGATATAAAGCCAGAAAAATGCCCTAGAAGAGTTAACAGGTAATACTGTGCTTTGCTTTTCCTCAGTTTATTTACAGTCTTGTTTTCCTTTGAAAATGCTAGACCCATGTGCTTTCCCCGATGGCTGAGAGGATGTGTCTGGCTTTAGCCACTGGTTGTATTGATCACTTCCAACTTTGCATATCCATCCGTGGGCTCTTTATTTCCCTCCAAGTCTTTATTTGGATTGAATTCATCAGCATCTTAAGATGCTGCTGATCAAAGCCACTGGTGACAGATGGATAAACTGTACTAGCTCTAGTGGAGCTGGGTCAGTATGAGCCAACTTTTTAAATATGATTTAGTATTGCTTGTTTAAATATTGAAGTGCAATTGATGAGTCCTTCCGCAGGGAGTTGGTGTAACCAGCTTGTTTTCCCACCTTTCCCTACTCCCAAAGGAAGGAAAAACCCATTTGTTTGTGCTGCTGTGAGAGGATCGTAGAGGTACTAAATTAGGTAAGAAATTATCCTCCATCAGTAGAATCTATATAAGGGAAAGCTGTGCTCCTGAAACAGATAGCAAGGTGGCCAAGGAAACAAGCAGGCAGGTCTTGCACTTGGCATGTGTGCCTTGTTAGTCAGAGTGTGCAGCTTCATTGACTTGAAAAAGAGCAGCGTTGCCAGAAGTGAAACTTGAGAACGAGACTTGGCACTGACTGGAAAACCACAAGTGTCATCATCATAACTACCTACATGTCAGCTGTAGAGGATCAGAATGGCTTGTTTATATATTCAAGAGCAAAACCTTTCCTTGTTAAAAAAGGTCACATGGGTGGAATATGAAATCATGAAAATGAACGAAGTGTGGAGTCAAAAAAGCCACCTGAAAGCCACGGTTTTCTTAACGTGATTTAATAAACCTGAGGGCATTCTCTGTTGTTATTCTGAGGAGTTGGTGATGATAGTGTTTTCATAAAGCAGCATCACTCTGCTTTGCTGTCCTTTTTTTTTTTTTCCTGTGGTGATCTGTTATAAATTTAATTTTTCAAGTAGTCGAGAACTGAGTTCAGTTTTAAAAGCAAAGACTGTTGTTAAATGTATTAAGCTGAACTCTCTTCTTGCCCAAGGGCAAGTGCTGATTTCACCGACGTGCTCCTACTGCACTGGACCACTGAAAACCACTTTGAGCAGTCACTTTTTTCACAGTGGGAGCCATGAGAGCTTTGCTTTCATTAACTGATATTCCTGCCACTGCTCCAGCCCTCACAACTGCTGCTGGCTGATCCACAGTGATCCACATTGCCTCTGTAGCTCCTCTGGGAGCTGAGTGCTGCACGGCTTGTGTGTGTTGTAGTTCTGTGTGATCAGTCTGTTATGGTCCTGCATGTGGGTGCTTGCCAGTGGCAGAGAGCATAATTATTAAAGCAGTTTTTCCTCACTGAAAAGGCAGATTATGTTCAGCAGCAAGTTTTCTCCACTGCCAGCTCTTGTCCTGCTCTGCTTTGTCAGGTTGGTCACTCCTCTGTTGTAACAGGAGTGGGGACAGATCTGCACAGATTAAATGCCCTTTGCAGTAAGCAGAGATGTCATAAATGCATTCAGCAGTGGTGTGGTGCACGTTTCTCAGTGCAGTGTGGTAAGAATACAGATTGGATTCACTTACTGAACTGTATGTTTTATTTCTTCTGAGTTCTTACTGCTGTGTGTATTACCCTGTAATGTCCCTGCACTCACCTGCCCCTACCTGGGTTGTTGTGAGCTGTGACCTTTCAGTCCTATGTGTGTACTGGGATACATGGGATATGGGATATCTGTATATGGGATTATGCAGGATGCACGTGTAATCCAATTCTAAATGATGCTTTTTTCCAGCTGGCTTACATGTTTCTAGTATTTTGGTTATGTAATTCAGATGTATATTTTCAGTAAGTAGTTTTTATGATTACTTTACATGTTGTAACCTCTAAAAAGGATAGAGGGAGATTTTTTTTTTACTCTACTCCCTCATCTGTCCCAGCTTCATTCTTCAGTTTTACTCTAGGGTTTACTCCAGCTCATGCTGTGGTCCTGCAGATCCCTGTAGGATGTGTAGTGTACGTGCAAGTTCCACACTGAGACATGAGCTGGAGCAGGACTGGGAAACACACAGCTGAGACAACGTGCTGCTGTGCCAAATTAATACAGTCTGACTGCAATTCATGTGTGGCAGAAAGGCCAGGTCTATTTGGGGAGTTGGACAGGCTGAGTGAGCAGTGTGAGTTTGGTTATACACTTTAATTCACGAGGACCTGTTCAGCGTGGAGGATGAACTGTGGGTCCAGTTGCTGGCCCAGAGTTCTTGGTGTGCTTACAGGAGCTCAGTAGAACAGTAGTCCCAAAGGGCTGAAGTTGGTGAATTTGTAAATAACTCTTCTTTTAACTTCACATGGAGAAAAAATAACGTAGTTTTCATTGATATCTCCACCCACAGCTGAGAAGCTCTGTTGCTAAATGTGGATGTGGTTTGAAGCTTGAAAACATTAAGTGGAAGTGTTCATTTTTTTATATAAAGCAGTTCACAGTCAGAAGAACTTGCTCAGAAAAAGAGTGGAGTTTCCATAGCTCAATCTTTAACTCAAGGTTGAAAAACACCTCCTTCGTCCCACCCTTCAAATTATCTGCTTGTTCAGTCAGACACTGCAGACCTGAGGCAGATATTACTGGGTCAGGTTTGATTCATACTGCACAGGAAGTCATAAGAATTTCTTTCAGTGGTCACATCTTATTTTAAGATAAGTCTTGGGACACAGCAAAGAAATTACCAGTTAAAACAGTCTTAATTCTTTTCTTGAATGAGCTCAGAGTTTCATCTCAGGTTTTGCAGCACTCTCATACTTGACTGTGTGCTGGGTTAATTCTCTTGCCAAGTGGAGGTGTCTGAAGCACTCACCTGCAGCATCTCTGAGCTGGTGGTTGTCAGCAGTGCTGAAGGAACAGTGGTTTCCTTTCTCTGTTGTTTTAACCTCTTAATGCCCTTTTGCCCCAGGCTCTGTGTTCAGATTGCAGATTGCTGATGGATTTTGAATATCACACGTGGCCTGAAGGATGTCTCTCTGGGACACTGGGACCAAAGACCTTTGGCATCAAAGGGTGTTATTACTCCAGCTGACCTCCCATGGCTGCTGAACTGCTTTGCATGACCAGTGTGTAAACACTGTGGTTTGACAAGAACTGTGTGAGTGGTTTCCCCATTCATACAGACATGCAGCCTAATTCCAGCCATGCTTAAATGAATATTTTTAATATGCACAGGTCCCGGTGAAAGGGCATATCCAGCTCTGTTGGATGGATCCCAGTTTTTCTGGGGACATGAAAAAATTGAATTTAAAAGTTATCCTGGTGTAATGCAAAAAGTTTGCATGTTGCTGTCATCATAGAAGTGTCATCATTACACTGAGGCTGTAAGATGGGATAGTGATATTTTTGAAAGCTGCTTAGTCTGCTGAGTTTTTGGTCTCTGGTCCTCTGCAGAAAGGGCTGTAGGACAGGGAAGCAGAAGCCCCAGGAGATACCCAGCACCTCTTGTTCTGAGCGTGAGAAAGCACAAGCTTTCACTTCACCACTTTCATTAGATCACAGAAAAGAGGAAGGAAAGTTTAAACCTGAAAAAGCTAAAAATAGCAGTTTTAAGAAAACAGTATAGTCTAGGAAAAGATTGCATTAATTCAGAACAGTCAAACAAATCTTACCTGTAATAGCCAAAAGTGGACAATCCTTTCATTTACCTAATATCTGTATTGGTAAATATTAGTGTTAGTATTCGTCTACTACTTAACATTCAAAGTAAAACGTTGAATTAACTTAATCTTTTTGTATTTTCAGAGAAATAGTGGAGCATATGGTTCAGCACTTTAAAACCCAGATTTTTGGGGACCGCAAACCAGTGTTTGATGGAAGAAAAAACCTTTACACAGCTATGCCACTTCCCATCGGGAGAGATAAAGTAAGTTTTAAATAGAAAAGTTTCTAGTTGAAGATTTTAAGGTGGTATTTTCAGAGCCTGTCTAACAGCTGATAGAACAGATTGTTTCTGGAGTAGATGTCTCCTGCTGTTGTCGCTCTGCTCAGGGTGTGGTTTGCCAGGACTCAAGTGTTGTTGCTGTTGGAGTGGTCACTCCCCCTTCCATTTCCCTTCTTTCTTCCCTCTCTTCCTCTCCTCTGGTGTGGTTTCTGCTGCATTGGTGAGCTGGATCAGCTGCCCCAGACACTGGACCAGCTCCAGACTGGCACTGGGGAGAAAGTGAGAACAGAGCTGAGTTTAGAGGGGACTGGGAACACCCTCCAGGCAGCAGCAGCTGTTCTCTCACCTCGCTAATCTCATCAAGGCTCACTCTAAGCTTATTCTCTCTATCAGTAGCTGGAAGAAGCTCCTCCATCTCTCTGTTGCCTGTATAGAACCTCTTCCCTAATCCTTTATGACTGAGAGCCAAACTAATTTAAACTGCACAGGTTAAGACCTGCTATCTTAGCCCTGGGGCAGTTGGAGGGGACTATTCTCTTTGCCAGCCCTCCGTGGGGCGGTGACCTCTTCGGGCTCTGGTTGGAGCTGCTCCAGTGCCCATTGACTGGTGAAGTAGAAGGGACTGTTGGAATATACTAACATACAAGCCCTATAAAATAACTTAGCCTGGGCATCTGTGATCCAATACCAGTTTGAATTTTCCGTGGCCTTTTTATCGTTAATTTTCATTCATTTTTCATTCCTGGTGGTAGTACAGTAAGTCCCTTCTGCTATGGGTGCAAGGTGAGGCCTGCACAGTTACAGGGAAGGACTATCCTATCCCATAAGAGTTGATTACAACCTCAAGAGACAAAAATAAAATGTAAGGGGTAAAGGGGAATACAGAAAAATGTAGAAACTGGGAACAGAGCTCAGGTGTTCTGAAATTCAGCAGCTCTAAAATAGTTCTTTGCTGTCCCATCCTGTTTGCCTGTGCAGTGCTTGACATAGTTAATAGTTCTACCTGAATCAAGCTCTTAATCTCATATGTGAAATTTTTTATTCCCTCCCAATCTGTTTAAGTGAATGTCGTGCAGTAAAGGTCAATCTCTCCTCCAGTCTTAATTACTCTTCATTAACCAATAAGGTAATGTCTGGGTAAACTGTAAAGGGCTCATTAAAAGTATTAGAGATTACTCTTTTTTTCCTCATCCAGGAAAAAAGTTCCCAGTCTTGCCAGAGTGATGATCACATGGAATAGGTGGTCGCTGAGGAGGTGTTTTTAGTGGAGGTTTAGTGGAAAGTTCAGGTGGTTTCATCTGTGGCTCACATTTAGGCTCACTTTCAATAAACTCCTGGTTTTTTTACTGTTTCCCATGGGATACAGGACACTGTCAGTTGTTCTGCTCTACATGTATTAATGTTCCCCTGGAGGAAAGAGCTAATAGAGATAAACCTTGAGCCGTTTAAAATCGGATGTGGGAAAATTTAGCTTAATGCAGGAAATTTTTACATGGTGCTAAATTGGTTTAAGCATGATTTAAACCAGTGTGAAGCTTGTAGGTATTAGGACTTTGCTCCAGCATAATTAGATTAAGTTTCTTTGGTGGGGTTTTCTTTGTTCTGTACATAAAAAATGAGTAAGCTTGCTGCACATCTGATTACATTTAGGATCATATTGAAAAGATTCATGAACATACAGTGATTAATAGATGATCCTTAATCTACGTGGAAGATCTTAACTTACTTGCAGTATGCTTTGGTGGTGGAAGAACTGGTGCTAAACAGAGGGCTGACACCAAATTGCACTCTCTCCTCATCTCTTGTTGGTAGTGGTTGTTGTGGCCTGGGTTTTTTTGGTCCTTGCTGACAGCTCTGCTTCTTTTATATCTTTTTCTGTTTAGATAAATACTCTTCTGCTTAGCTTTCCTGGTTATCAAACCTGTTTTCATTCTTTCCTTATTGTACCTTATTTTCACTCTTTAATTTCTTCATTTCTTTAGACCTTTCAGAACAAATATGGAATATGTAAATATTAACATGATATTTTCTTAGTTTTTACTTGTACACATTGAGAAGAAAGACAGTGTTAAGGTAGGAAGATATTTAATAGTCTCCTCTTTCCTCATATGTTCAAGCAGCAAACCCAGGTCACCTCCAACAGCAGCTTTGTACTCAATTCCTGCATTACTTATGTATCTCCCTAAAATGTCCCTCTGCAATTAAAAGCTAGAATTTAATTTTAATTGAACTTGAGAGTTCTCTCACCTAGCGAGATACAGGAACATCTGATAGATCTTAACCTACATCTTAATTAGTCTTTAATTAGAAAAACAGTAATTATGAATGAACCATTCAGAGCAGTTGGATACAGCAATCCTGCTGCTGTTCCCCTTTCCAGAAGGAAAATCTCAGTCCTGTGCATGGCCACAAACTCCTCTCTGTGTTTGAAGTACTGCTGAGAGCTCTGTACATGACAGAAGCAGAGCTCTTTCCTACATCCATAGCTTGAGGTTTCCACACAAGGCTGTGGGAGGTAGGCAACCAAATATTTGATTGGGAACTGTTCATCTGCTTTCCCCTGAACCCATGGGAAGGAAAAGCTCTTGGATTAATAGAGAAAAAGTACTTTGTATGCTCAAAACACGACAAAATAATCATGTAATGTTGCCTATATTTTATACAGAAGAAGGAGTACTAAAAATTCCCCAAAAACACATGGTCAGGTTTAATTTTTATTATTTTTAAACAGTACTATTATGATTTGTATTAGTAATTCAGACCACATCAGCTTCAAGACCTATTCTTTTTAAGAATGGCTTTAAAATTTTTCTACAGGCTTAATGATTTTTTTCATCCTGACAGTAAAATCTCTTTCATTTAGTTCCTTTAGCTGCAAAATTATGTTAACTGTCTTGCAGTTTAGCAGTGGGTCTAGCAGGTAGCAGGTTAGTGACTGAGACTGTAAATTTTTTTTATTATTTGGGGATAGATTATAAATCAAACATTAAATTTTGCTGTAGAGTTTATCCCTAATAGTTATGGACATAGTAAAATTCCCATTTAAAATTACTTTCTTTTTGAAATTTTTCTTGTTATGTTTACTCTGTCAAACATAAATGTGTTCATTTGTCCTTATAAAACTATAGGGTGGAATAAATAAAATATTACTGAAAGATATAGACTCTGATTAGTAGTGCCTAAAAGTATATGTGAACTTGTGCATGAGGATTAAGGACACATTTTTTTATATTTTTGTGTTTTGTTTGGTTTTTTTTTTAACTACACATAAACTTTCAGTAGTGTGTAAATGAAGTGAGATATTTAAGGGGAAAAAAAAAAACCAAACAGGAAAGTTGGATTTAAAACTTATTTATTTGAGCAGTGACTCTTAAGTCAACTCTTCTGAAGTGGAGTCAGACCCAGCAGCAAAAACTGCTTGGGCCAAATTCAGCAGTCACAGCTCTGCTAAACTTCATCAGTGTTTGCAGTCGAACACCTGGAATAGAAATTCTTCAATCCTGGGTCGTTTATTTCCACCAGGGACATGGATACTGCAACACATTCTTCATCTTCCATTCTATCATGGTGAAGGAGTTTTCTAAATAGACACCAGGGGAGGGCGAAAAAAAGTAAAATTAAATCCTTTTTTTAGATTAAGGGTGCCAACAATTGTTAATAATCAGATTAGTTGTGTATTGACAGTATTGGGAATAAGTGTAGAATGGTTTTGTTTGGAAGGGACCTTAAAGGTCATGTCATTCCAACCCCCTACCATAGCAGGGCCACCTCCACTAGACCAAGTTGCTCAAGCAGAAATTACAAAACTTGATTTGGAGGAAGAGAGAGGTTTAAAGGAAAATACACCTCAGGAGTGATAGACTCTTCCACCTACTGTACATGAGAGCCAAGTTGAGGACCTTTTCATGGTGTGATGGAAAAAAAGGTTTCATGGAGAACTTCCAACCTGTGTGAGCTGAAAACTTGTCCCTGTCTTTGCACAGATTTGAGCTGAGCTGACCTTCTGGGCCAGATTCACCGCAGTGACCCGTGATTAGACTCCAGTTCCCGTTGCTCTCCCACAGCCGTGCAGCTCCTTCCTCTGCTCGGGTCTCCTGGGGAATGATGTTTGTGCTAGAGGAGAGATGCAGCTGTAATATTAATTTTGTGTGCCTACTATAGATGGTCAGCTCATTTTGGGGGCACAGGGGAAGGCTTGCTATTTGTGTTTTATCTTTCCTTCCTATTTTTGGACAGAAGAATCGAACTGTCGCAAGAGACCAGATGCTGGCAGATCCTGGTTTGCTGTTACCCACCTATTATTTTTGCTGGCCCTCTAATTGCAGTTTGTCTGTTAAGTGGATGCCTTTTGTATTTAAATTGCAAGCTCCCTAGGACAGGAAAATACAACGTTTTTTGTTTGTATCCAGCACAAAGGATACTCTGATCTTGTTATTTCTTGTAGTCACTCCCACAACTGCTAATCATTTCAGACAAGCCTTAATTTTAGTCGGCTTAAGAACTTTGGTGCTCAGACTTTCTTTAGGAAAGAGGAGAAATCAGCATTACAAATAATTACAAGTAATTGGATGAAGTAATTTACCATAATGTAGTTTGTCAGTGTTTTTTTAGACAAAAAAATTCAAAGTAGGCATAAGATGGCATAAGATGTTTCGTGCCTAATATCATCATTAGTACTTGGGGGTCACCATTTATTCTTTCTTTGGTATTTCAAAATAAGAGTGTTCTGGCTTGGTGGGTTTTGTGGGTTTTTTGGTTTTTGGGGGGGGTTGGTGTTTGGTTTTTTAATCTCTGTTTTAAAGCTCCTGTTTTCTCTTGTTTGAACTGTGTCTACAGCAGTAGTATATAAAGCACTCGAGTGCTCTAGAGAGCAAATACCAGAAATTCATGAGTCTTGGCAGGTGGTGACAGCCCATGTTTTATTTTGGGTGTGCTGGAGCTGACATGAGCAGTGATGCATTGGGACGTGGTAGGGATCTGAAATCAGGTTATCGGATCTTCACCGAGACCTCCCGGTTGATACAAGCGCTCCCAAATTACAGTGTTGCCTGACAGAGGGAGATAGCTGCCAGCTGGGAAGCACTCCAGGTTTCTGAAATACACCTTTGGGAAGATCTCAGCTGCAAAAAGAGGCTGTACCTAATGCATATTGTTGCTTCATCACTGCTTTTTGTCTCCTCCCGTGCTTTATAGGGCTGTTCAGAGGAATCCATCGTCCCTTCCGAGCCCCTTCCATTTCCCCCCCTCTTTCAATGGAAAGAATCATCTTGGTTTGTTGTTTGGCATTGTTGCAGGTGGAGCTGGAGGTCACGCTGCCAGGAGAAGGAAAGGACAGAATATTTAAGGTGGCTATAAAGTGGATGTCCTGTGTGAGTTTGCAGGCTTTACATGATGCTCTTTCTGGCCGGCTGCCAAGTGTCCCGTTTGAGACCATCCAGGCACTGGATGTAGTGATGAGGCACTTGCCTTCCATGAGGTGAGGGGAAGACCTTGACGTGGTTTAGATGTTATTTAAATCGCTTTGGTGGCCTTTTTGGGTAGGATGTGCTTTCATAGCTCAACCACAGCAGATGGCAGGCTCAGGCAAGGGGCAACACGGTGCTTTTCACTCATCCAGTGGGATTAGGAGCCTCCAGCCTGGGACACGAGACCCTTCCCCCAGTGTTCTGGCTCCCTGTTTGTGTGCTTTTGGCTCAGGGGTGTCCTGCCATCTCCCTCTTTTCCCTGTAGCCTTGGAGAAGGAAGCTCTCCCCGAGTGGGAGATACTTGGAGGTTGGTAGAGGTGGAAGGGTGGTTTTAAATCAACTTGTTACCCTTTTCCTATGTGTCCTTGGGCAGATGTTCATTGCCAGTTCTGTATAAAGGATACAGTGCTGGGGGGACATTAATGGCACCCTATATGGCTATTTTTATAGAAAAGAAAAACTGAAAAACTACTTGACTTGTTTTATTTTCCAAGTAAGTGGGATCTACAGTATTTTCAGTCACACCAAGAGATACTGGGCTTAATTCTGCTGCCACGAAACAGGTCACTTAAGACCACTGTGCAAATTATATTCAATTGGAAAGTAAAGTTTAGTAGGGCTGAACATTTCCATTTTGAAGGGCTAAACAGGGAATATGAGTTAAACTTATGCAAATTACTTTAAATAGCCTTATAGTATGTTGACTCTATCCTCATGTTATGGATTAAAAAGGTTTTTAACTTTAATCAGGTTTTACAGCACAGAAAACAGCCCATTCTGTCAGATAGCTTGTTCAGAGTATCATACTGGCTCTGGATATGATTAGTTTGCTATTAAGTGTGCAGGACTTAATTATCAAGAGGAAAGATGTATCAGAAATGTTTATTAGATCACTTGTTTACCCACACATAATGTCTGTTGTGTTTCAGAGTAGCACAAGTAAGGGGAGAGATTATTGCATTGGTGTTTAAATAGCAGAGATGTTTAATTCTTTTCTTACTGAAGCGCAGCTGAATTTTTAATAGAATGCAAATAAAAATGCTTTTTGTCTGAATTGGTAGATATATTAAAGAGTATACTGAAAATGAAGTTAAACTTGAGTAGTAGCCAGTTTCTCACTGTAATGAGCTGGATTTTAGAGGTGTAACCAGAGTCCTGCCAGGAATCTCAGATTATTGGTTCTTTGAATCTCTGACATTTCTGTGCTTTTGTGAACAGGAATTTTTTTTTGCTTTAGTTGTCTGATGTGCATTTTTTTGCTTTATTGCAGGTATACTCCCGTGGGGAGATCTTTTTTTACAGCATCAGAAGGGTGCTCAAATCCTTTGGGTGGTGGCAGGGAGGTTTGGTTTGGCTTCCATCAGTCAGTCAGACCTTCATTGTGGAAAATGATGTTAAATATTGATGGTAGGTGCTACAAAATATAATGTATTGTTTCTTCTTTCTCAAATACAGTTCCATTTGTTGGATTTCTTAAAAATGTTCTTAAAAATGTTCTTAAAAATGTTCTTAAAAATGTTCTTAAAAATGTTCTTAAAAATGTTCTTAAAAATGTTCTTAAAAATGTTCTTAAAAATTTCCTCTGTGTTGTTGCAACACACCATTAATGTTTCTGTCTGCAGTGTCTGCAACTGCATTTTACAAAGCACAGCCAGTGATTGAGTTCGTATGTGAAGTTCTGGACTTCAAAAGTATTGAAGAACAACAAAAACCTCTGACAGATTCCCAAAGGGTAAAGTTTACCAAAGAAATAAAAGGTAATAAATTATATGAAACTGCTTTATTCGTCTGATGTGTTACCATGACATCTGCAAAATACTTTCTGTATCAGTCACTGTATTTGGAGATAAAAGCTTAATATTTTTCACTTTTGAAACATATCAGTAGTGCCAATCCCAGTTCCATGACAAAGATACTCCATTTCCTAATCTGTTGATTTCTAAATATTTACAAAGATTGGGATTTCATGTTTTTTTAATTACCCAAGCTTAAATTTTTCCAGTTGCTGATGTTGGGATTTTCATAGTCCAGTTCCACTCAACAGTACAATTCCAACTCCAGTTACTGATATCAGGATGTTTGTATTCCAGATTTTACTATGAATTAACAATGTGGCTTTGCATGCTTAGGTATATTTCATACATACACTCTCCTGGAAGTAAATTACAGTTATTCTGCTGTATAGTGGCTGAAGCAAAGAGTCCAGGAGGAAGAAGTCTTACTGGTTTTGTTCACTTAAGATTTCTCCTGGAAAATGGAGATCCTTCTTCCTGATATTCTTGGTAGAAAGACAACAAGTTAAAAAAGAAAAACTCCATAAATCTATCCTGCACCTTCCTTTCTTGTTTCCACAAAATGCACACAAAATTATCTTTGCCCAGCTAGAAGTTAACATGAAAAGTATAAGTGAATCCAGAGTCTGTGTTGGTTGTAAATGTTCTGAAAAAATATCAGGCACTGAGTTGCTTCATTCCATGAGCTCCTGGAGGCTGTTTGGGTGTTTTTTTCTTCCCCACTCCCAATTCATTAGTTCAGGGCTGGCTGCAATAGTTGGAGGTCTCACAGACATTGTATGTTTAGACAAAAAATATAAACAAGGGTTTTTGTTTCAAGGAGGTTGTGTGCCCTTTCTGTCCTTTCCCCATCCTGGACTTCCTTGGAGGTACAGAACTGGAGTTCTCAGGATGTGTTCAGCGTCATCTCTGCACTCCTGGGCCTTTGGGATTTCATCTTGTCTCTAAAATTCTGTGTTGAACTTCGGCTGAAGTTTGGTGGCTCTAAATTTTAAGGCTGTAAATTGCTGTTTTTGAGTTCTCTGTGGGATACCCTTTGGTGCTAAATAGGAAATGGCTTCACTGCACAGTTTAAGTGGTCTTGTGTAGCAGTTTAGAGGCTGACACCTTGATTTTGAAGAGATGGTGATATATGTTTTCCGATTTTTAGGTCTAAAGGTGGAGATAACACACTGTGGACAAATGAAAAGGAAGTACAGAGTGTGCAATGTCACCAGACGACCAGCAAGCCACCAAACGTAAAGGATTTTGCTGCTTTTTAAGCATGTTTGGTCTCAAACTGGAAAAACACCTCACTTGCATTGCTGACATAGGAAAAGTTGCTTGAAAAATGATGCTTTTTTTGGTTGATACCCTTAAAATATACCAGTATTTTCCCAGCTTTGCTGTTCTTTTTGTTCTGTTTTATACTATAATGAAGGCCATGGCATTTGAACCAATTGCTTCATTTTGAATTTGGGGAGTTTTTTGGTTGGTTGGGTTTTTCTTCTTTCTTCCTCTCTTTTTTGGATTTCTTCAACATTGGAAGAACAGGGTGTCCTGTTCGTAGCCTGCTGTTTCTCACAACTTTCAAATAGAACAGTAATGCCCGCTGGGATCAGCTTTCTAATCTTGCTTATTGCCCATCTATTTTTCCTCTGGAAAAAAATGTTTCTTTTTAATCACTAACCAGAGGTTTGCAGATAACTTGAATATGGAGGTATTGAATCCCATTTTTAAGGAAGTAATATAAGGAACAAAACTGATAGCAGCTTTTTACAAGAAGATAACTGATGGTATCTAAATCTAGCATTTAATTGTTCAGGCTTTGTTTTGTGCTCTTTCAATAAGCTTAACTTGTGCCAAGAAATGTATTGAGGAACTGTGGGAAAGTATTTTGCATGAAGTAACAGCTTCTTTTCATATATGCTTTCCAATAGATTCCCACTTCAGCAGGAGAATGGACAAACAGTTGAATGCACTGTAGCTCAGTATTTCAAGGACAGGCATAAATTAGTTTTACGCTATCCTCACCTTCCATGTTTACAAGTTGGACAGGAGCAGAAACACACATACCTTCCTCTGGAGGCAAGTAAACTCATGGATAATACTGTATTCTGGGACTGGGGGAAAGGGGACAGAGGGGGGAAAAGGTTCAAATGTTGACAAACTGCTTTTTGAGTAGCCAACTTCAGAAATTCTGTAGCGCAGCAATGAACCAAAACACAGTTGCATTTTGGTTTTTAATTTCCTTTCTGTGGTGGATATTTTAGGTGTGCAACATAGTGGCAGGACAAAGATGCATAAAGAAACTCACTGACAATCAAACTTCCACTATGATTCGAGCCACTGCCAGATCAGCACCGGACCGTCAAGAGGAGATCAGCAAGTTGGTGAGTGTTGTGTCAAACACGAGTGAGGTGTTGTGAGGAACTTAATTTTGCCTGCCTTTGGCACGTACTGAATGTGTTCATGCCCTGCATACAAGTGATGAGCTTGTTTTTTATCAATTTTTTTAATTCCAGATGCGGAGTGCAAGTTTTAACACCGACCCTTACGTTCGGGAATTTGGGATAATGGTCAAAGATGAAATGACGGATGTGACCGGCAGAGTCCTCCAGCCTCCCTCAATCCTCTATGGAGGCAGGGTATGTCCAAGGGATACTGTACCCAAGGGATACACACCAGTCTGTGATGGCTTCCAGCACCAGCTGGGATAACTCCTGTAATATGGCTGTTTTAAATTAGTTATGTTGGATGTAAGGGGTAAAGTTGGCATAGGTGTAATGTTTGGAATTTACATTTAGGTTCTCAAAGTCCTTAAATGTAATGGCTGTGTTGCATCTCCCTCAGTTGCTTCCTTATTTCTGAAAGCAAAGCTGGGTTAAAAATGTGTCTGTGTAAACTCAGAAGGGTGGTTGGGCACTGGAACAGGCACATGGCTCTCAGGCACATGGTGGGATTCTTGGGGTTGTCCTGTGCAGGGCCAGGAGTTGGACTTGGATGATCCTTGTCAGTCCCTTCCAACTCAGGGTATTCCATGCTTCACTATTTACCAGTACTTAGTGATGTGCAAAATATTCATAGTATTTAGATTAGGTCCCTCTTGGAAAAATTCACTGAGCAGCTGTAAAGTGCCACTGTAGAAATGTAGGTTCTCTTTAATGTTCTATACCAGGTGAATCTGACTTACTCTCTGTAACTAATTTTAATCTGCTGCTGATTTATACAACCAAAGGAAATGATCACCAATAAAAATGAACAACATGTCTTTATTTTTCACCTGTTAACAAGCTGTCTTGCTACACGGATAGAATGATTGCTAAAAGATAGAATGGATATTTGCACAGGGAAGAGAAAGATCTGAGAGTACAAATCACCTGCCAGGTGGAGGGAACTAGAAGCATAACTACTTTTTATTTAGCATGAATCAAGTTTTGCCTTATTGTTTTATTTTCTTTTTCCTTCCACTTCCAGAATAAAGCAATTGCTACACCAGTTCAAGGAGTCTGGGACATGAGGAATAAACAGTTTCACACTGGGATTGAAATAAAGGTCTGGGCAATCGCGTGCTTTGCTCCCCAGCGCCAGTGCACTGAAGTTCATCTGAAGTAAGTGTGGTTTGTAAGATGGTGATTTTATTACTTATTATGGATGGAAGTGTCATGATTTCACTTATTCATTTAGAATATATATTTTGTTAAATCGTTTAACATATGGCAGTACATCTTTAAGTGTTTTTGAAGTTCGGTCTCTCTTTGGGTGATGCCAGTGTGATTTCCTGCAAATCAGACTTAACAAAACCCATTTATGCTTCGTGGCGGATTTCTGACCAGTGATGGGTGTTTGTGTCAAGAGTGAAGGCTAACATGTAGGTTCTGTTGGGTTCTGTTCTGGTTGGAATTGCTTTATTTGTGCTGAACTTACGTAAAAGGAAAATTAAAAAGCAATCCAACTTCTGTCTAAAACTTTTTCCCCTTTAGAGTTCCTGGATTGTGCAAGTTGCTGTATTTGCCAGATGAGTAGGACTAGTTGTTTCATTGACTTTGAGCATTTATATGAAACTTTCAGATTTGGTTTCTTTATCTTTGGATGGAATATGATAGTTGAAAGAGTGTTGTTAAAAGTGACATCTACCATCTTGGATGTGGGAAAGTGTGCAGGCCTGGGTGGATGCCTGGTTGCTTCTTCCACACACAGCTGCTTTCCCTTTGTGCATGGGCTAGTGCTGCTTTTGGAGCTGCCCTGAAAGGTGACTCACCTTCTTTTTGTGAGGTGAATGCAGGGCAGTGGCTGCTCATACCAGTGCTATTGCCATAGCAGGGTTCCTTCAGATGATTTGCCAAATAGCATGGGAATTTTTCCCTGACAAGTGATGAGCAAAGGGTGGGAATCTTACTTTTTCTGCCCATTGTGTAAGGGAGGAACTTGTTCCCTCCAGACAGATGGTAGGAACGAGGCTGCCACGGAATTTTCCCTTCCGTGCTGTTTCTTCCAGTGGAAATGCTGCATAAGTGAAGTGATTCAGTTTTGAGAAATAGGCAGAATTCTTCAACACAGTGAGCCAAAGTGAAATTATTTGATAGCTTAGATGGAGATGGTCCTTACCAGGAGAGGACATTTCTCCATGCAAAGAATATGGCTGTGTCCAGTTCCATCTTGTGGGCTCTTGTTACAACTTGTTGAGAAAGTTGGAACTCAGATGCTGTAGATAATGTCAGAGTAAACCCTCAAATTCCCTAAGAGTCTTCCAAATCATCCTGCTTTACCTCTTGGGAACGGGCAGAAAACCTTAGACACCTTACTTCCAGATGGACTTCTAAAACAGCTCAGGTTTTGAGCCATGAGACTTGAATGTTAAAACCAGAGAATGATTTGAGTTGGAAGGGAGAGTAAACCTCTTCTTGTTCCACCCCATTGCCACTGGCAGGGACACCTTCCACTAGACCAGGTTGCTCCAAGCCCCATCCAACCTGGCCTTTAACACTTCCAGGAATAGGGGGATGTTCTGCCACTGACTCTGCTACAGTGGTGAGTGTCTGTTTTTCCAGGGGAAGTACCGTGCCCGTGTTCTGCCAGGAGCCCCAGGCTGCAGGGCTGGAGCTCACACACTATTATGATTCATGCAAGTTAACAATGGGTTTGGAAGAAACTAAATCTTCACACCCTCTCAGTGGGTGGCACCTTGGCACCCTTTGGTGAAGCAGTTTAGACACCTCTGGGGGCACCCACCCCAACATAAAGGGGGCTTTTATCAGTGAGCTAAAAGGGCTTCACTGGTGGAAGCCTCTGAAAAACTTGGGTTGTCTCTATTTCTGACCAGTTCCATCCACTTACATTTGCACTGTCCTTGGAGAAGGTTTGTCTTCACCTCCAGGATACACCTTTTCTCTGGTATCTAGCAAGTTTTTCTTGTGTATTATTATTGATGTTAGATCAATTCAGTGGGACAGTTGCTGGTAACTTCTGTTGGTTGTTTCCCTCAGCAAGAAGAAGGAAGTCCAGCCCTTTCTGTAGTGTAGTACCACATGGAATTAAGGTGGAGCAGGCTATCCAAAATGTCATTGTTGCAGTGTTTTTGAAAAAAAAGTAGCTTGTGCTGTATCTCCTGTAGAAAGATGAAATCAGGTGGAATTTGCTTTGGAAATGATGTTTTTATTAATGGTGTTATTTATGCAGCATATTTCCTGTTTTTCCTTCCGTGACTACACAGACGATTAAAGATGCACTTGGGGTAAATGTTCAGGTTTTTGGACTGTTCAGTTAAAAATAAGAACAAAAACCAAGATGAGTTTTGCTACCTGAGAACCTGATGTATTTATTTACATCCTTCAGGTCCTTTACAGAACAACTGAGGAAGATTTCCAGGGATGCTGGAATGCCAATCCAGGGGCAGCCGTGCTTCTGTAAATACGCGCAGGGAGCCGACAGCGTGGAGCCCATGTTCAGACACCTCAAGAACACTTACACTGGGCTGCAGCTTGTCGTGGTGATTCTGCCAGGAAAAACACCAGTCTATGGTCAGTAAGTGGAAATTGTGTGTTTCAGTCACAACTTCATGTGGTTTTTGGGAAGTATCCAAATGAGAGAGGTTTAATGCTGGTTTAACTATATAAATTCCATTTAGGGAACAGGCTATAAATTACTTTTATTATTCTTTTTGTGTTGCATGATGTTTCATTATTTTTTCTGTGCTTTTAATTTGCTTTTCCATATTCTTCCTGCTGGTTGCATTTGAGATGCAGGTTGTGAGTGAGAAAGCTAAACCAGGGCTTTGGTGAGATTGATGAGATTGGTACACAGTGGGTTAAAATATTCTTAATGTAACCTGTGTGCTGAAGATTCCAAGTGATTGAAGAAGTAATGACCTCCAGAACTGTGTAGCTTTTAGAGCATCTTTGCTTACTCACACTATCACCCTTTGGCAAAAAATCACAGAAGATGCTGAGTTGGAAGGGATCCACAAGGATCATTGAGTCCAACTCTTAGCCCTGCACATGACCAGCCCCAAGAGTCAAACCATGTGCCTGAGAGCATTGTTCAAACACATTTGAACTCAAAATGTTTGAGTGAAGGAGAAGATTTCTGTCTGGTTTTCCTATTATTTCAGTTTTTTAACTCTGGTTGTGAGGATGCAGATGCATGCAAAGTGAAAGCTCAGCAAGCTAAACTGTTTCTTGGAAACAGAGGGACAGTCAGTGCATTTTGCATAGCACACACACAGGTTTTAATGTTTTAGAGAAATCATGCATTTTGGTTTGAACCAACTCTTCCTAAAGGCAAGACTGCTTGTTTTCCTGTCCCCTTTTCACTTACCTTGCCTAATTGGAGCAGCATCCACTATTTTTCTTCTCTGGCTTCATGGACTCTCTTCTCTAATGGCTCAGATCTACCAAGCAGCTGCAGATTTGTTTTATCCCATCCCTCACTCTCACCAATTTAACATAACACAAAATAATTTTCTAAATTTGAGATTATCTCATTCAAGATGAAAGGAGAGATTAAACAAGGAACCTTAAGGAAACAGTACTTTGTTTTCCCCTCGAGTTCAGCCTTGCAAAGGAAGTGGCTCATCTCTAATCTGTTCAATAGAAATTCAGTGCAAAATGGCGTTTTCACTTTTCCTGCTTGGCATTAAAAGGGAACTCTTTCCTTTACTTAAACACTGAGAGGATGTGGTACCATTCTCATCTGCTTTCCTTGTCATTATCTTTAATTACAGTTATTTCTGCCCCCTCTAATCATCTCTCCTTATTTTCTCCCTGTGCTCTTCCCTGCCCTGCACTTCCTATGCCCACAGCCTTGTCTTTTCTCCTCTTCCCACCCTGCTCTTTTCCTCTCCTGTTACCAGAGTGGAGGTTGCATCTTCTCTGAGCCAGTCTTGGAGCCTAAATTTCCTCCCTGAGTGTAAGAGTATGGCTCTCTTAAAGCCTTTGAGTCTCAGTTTTGTTGTTAATTATAGGATTTGGTTTTAACCTTTGGAATTGTACAGTACTTAATGAGTTTTTTTGAGTTTTAAGGGCCATCCTTTGCTGAACTGACCACTTTCTATGCAAGTAATAAACTTGCAGTGGGGAAGTGATAAACTGGTTAGCTGAATGTTACTCAACACGTTACTATTAGGTTTGTGTTACTAGTCCAGTGTTCAGTAATGAAACAAGTGCTCATCATCCTGATATTACCCACATAATTAACTAAAGGTGATGATATAACACTATAATTCTAAAATAACAATTAAAAAAAATTCTTAATATAAAAGCCAACAGTGCCTTTAGTTATTATATTTAGTCACTGGGAAGGTGGAGCAGTGCAGGACTGGGGGGAGGTTCATTGGAGGCTGTGTTGGGTTTTGGGGTTAGGTTTTGCCTTGTTCCTTTAAGTTTGCTGACCTCTTTGCTACAACTCTAGGTGTAGTTAATTGGTGCTGAATTCACATTTCCTGGGTGGTTTGATTTGCAATTTGCAAATGTTTTTTGTTTGTTTCTTTCTGTTCTGCAGCGGAGGTGAAGCGCGTCGGGGACACCGTGCTGGGAATGGCCACACAGTGTGTTCAGATGAAAAACGTCCAGAGAACAACACCACAAACCCTGTCTAACCTTTGCTTAAAAATAAATGTCAAATTAGGAGGCGTAAATAACATTCTGCTGCCACAGGGAAGGTAAGTCATCTTTCAGAAAGGAGGAGGGGATTGTGTTGTAAATTGAACGTGCGTCATACTGAGATAACCGAGTGCTTTTATCTGCAGTCGTAGCCCTGTAGCTTAAGAGACTCTTCAGACAAACTCTCTTTTGGCTTGTAATAAGTAGTCCTGCAAAAGTTAGGTTCCCCAGACTGGAGAGGAATTCTTGTTTCTGTTGGAATTTATAATAAAAATATTGTTATCGCGATCTGCCCATTGAAGAGCACAACTTCCACTTGAATGAAAAAATCTGTAATATTCTGTTTGCCTTGAGTTTTCAGAAAGAAGCAGAGACCCTCTAGAATAGTAGTGCCTTTTCCTGGATAGTTTAATTGTGGTCAAAATTCTTCATTTTGTTGTATGTCTTAACTTACACAGACATTTAAAGAACGAAAAGCTGGGAGCAGAAAACTCAGTTGGTTTCCAGGTCCAGTTTAACTTGTAATTTCTTACTTGTGTTACATTGATAAGGTTTGATTATACTATGACTATAATTCAGTGAAGTTATCTTGCTGCTACTGAATTCCATATCTGATGTGTCACTGAAGTCCTGTGTGGAGTTGAGAAGGAGTGAAGCAAATGCTGTTTGTCAAAAAAAGAGGGACCTTGCCTTTAACATCTTAAAACAAACATTCTCAAATTGAAACTTCTTACCATTTTTATTAAAAAATCAGTGACAAGAAATTCTAATGGGAGAATGGACAAAATACAGCTTGTTTTTTCTTACCTGTGCAGGATAGAGAAGCCTAATGTAAAGATAGATAAAGTTACTTCAATCAAAATGAACAAATGTGTCTCTACATCAGTAAAAAGAGGGCCTTTTTACAATCATTGCATTTCCAAGTTGCAGAGAGAGCTCAGGGAATAACCTGCTACATCATTCTTGGGAACCTGGTTCAGAGAAATCAACATTCTGTTCTGCACTGATAAGCAAATTTTCACTTAAGAGTATTTAGGCTGGTCAGGAGGCACCTGCTCAAAAATAATCCAACAAGTACTTAGGGAAGAAGAAAAAGAACACATTACCAAAGGGATGTATATCTGTGTATCTTGTTAAATTCTGTGTATTGAACTCAATAGACTCAGCCTGGGTTTGTTGGAGCCTCCTGTTAAAGCAACTGAAATCATGGTACTGCAGAGTGTGTGATTCAGAAAGGCACAGTGGTGGGGGTTTTGTTGGGTTTTGGATTTGTTTTTTTGTGAAAATGGAGTTAAGTAAAGGGGGAAAATGGCACAACTACACACAACACCTTGGCATTCTGTAAAAGTGCAGGTTTTGGGTATTGAAAACAGAACTCGCTAATTATTATTTTCTGTTGGCTGAGGAAATGGGAATAGAACTGGCATTGCATGTTACATTGTTATAATTACCTTCCCATTTCTTTTTAGAGAAGGTCTTCAAATAGCTTAATTTATCCCCATAACCATTTAACCACTCCCCTACACACCCACATACACACAAAAAAATTCTGGTGGTGGCTTAAGATTTTCTCTTTAAAAATGCTTTATTAAGGAGTAGAGTTGAAGCTTAAAATTTGCATTGTAATGTTGTGGTGTTCTGCTCTTGGTGCAGTGGATTAATAACTTAAAGGTTTGTTTAAAGCTTTGAAGCATACTTTTTAAAAAATCTACTTTTAAAATAATAATTTTAGTAGCTACAGTTTTTGTACTTCTTCACCAACACAGAAAAAAATATTTTTATTTGTAGCATCTTTTATATTTCCCAGTCCTTTAATTTTCTCAGATGCCAATTGATGCTAAGGGATCAACTTTTATTCTTTTCCATGGTCTGATTAATAAAGGCTCCAATTCTCCAAGTTAAAAAAAAAAGATATATTTTTAAAGTAATTTGTAATTAAGAGTAGTAATTAGCTGTGCTTTAAAAATCTGCCCAAGTATTTAGTATGAGAGCCTTAATCAGGATTTCTAATCACTGCCACAGGACAAGTGATCAACTCTACTCAAGTGCCAGTTGTTGAGGAATTCACTGCAGGAGTACAGAGCGCTGTCTATTGGAGTTTTAATGTGCTTTATTAAGCAGAAATCTTACTGCTTTTACAAATTTCCTCTCTCTTTGCCAGACCCCCAGTATTCCAGCAGCCTGTCATATTCCTTGGTGCAGATGTAACTCACCCACCAGCTGGAGATGGGAAAAAGCCTTCCATTGCTGCAGTGAGTGAATTGTGTCCTAATCTTTAACCCCAGCTCTCTCCTGCTGCTCAACTCTAATGCAGTTTATTGCTTTCAGTTCATTTGTGGTCCATTGCTTCTGATTGCCTAATTATAGTATTATAAATTATTTTTCTGCAGGAATCTAATGAAACTTCAGAGAGCTTGCTCTGCTGCTAATTACTTAAATGGGTGTATTAGCTTGTAAAATGCCTGAGCTGCTCTTGCACGGAGGAGCTTTCCTGGGAGCTGATATTTATCAGCAGCCTGTAATGAGCTGGTGCATGTTTAAATCTGCTTCTTCAGCAGTAAGAAATGTTAAGAATTTCTTCACTGCTGATAGGGAACTCGACTGGCTCACTTGTGGGTTTTGGGGGCTCAGGCTTCCTGACCACACAGAATGTGCAGTGATCTCTTGGAAATATGCTCCTGAATGTAGGACACTGTGAAACACCTGTAATGGCTGCTCTGGATTATTTAATAATGAAGATCTTTGGTGGTATGTGCAGTATCGTAGCCTGTAATGCTAAATAAACAAATACCTGTTTTAGAAAGTTATTACACCTGTGTGTCCAGGGAAAATGAATGCTGGTGTTTCATAAACATAAATCCATTCCCTTGGTGTGGATATTTCTGTAGTGCCTCACTGTTTCAGTTTGATGGACTTATCCCCAGTGTCCCGAAAAGGGACTTGGTCTTCCAGAGTTCAAATTCCTGTTCTGCAGTCTGAACTAAATCAATGGTTTCATGATATCAGGTCTCCAAATTGTATTTGATTTTTTTTTTTTTTTTAAGTATGTAGGTGCAAATGGGAAATTAGTCTTCTAGATTTAAAATAAGTTTTCCCTTTCAGCAGGGTGTGTTGCCACAGGCGGGCAGAACTCCAAAGTCTTTCCAAGCCCATTTTAGTTTCAGCTACATCTTTGCCAGGTCAACCACTTGGTTTGCAAGACCCCGTTAAAAAGACAGTGCAGTTTTCTTATGAAATACCTTTATTAAAGTGCTCTTTGGTTCGAGACTGAGCATCTTTTCCCCCAGGTTGTGGGAAGCATGGACGCTCATCCCAACCGATACTGTGCCACCGTTCGGGTCCAGCAGCACCGGCAAGAAATCATCCAGGATTTGGCTGCCATGGTCAGGGAGCTGCTCATCCAGTTCTACAAATCAACGAGGTTCAAACCCACTCGGATCATCTTCTACAGGGACGGTGTTTCGGAGGGGCAGTTTCAACAGGTGATGTTTTCCTTTTTGAAATGTAGTTTACTGGTAGTAATGTGGTTTTATGTGATTTGAGTTATGCAAAAAAAAAAACATATCCTCAGCAAATCTTCCCTCGGCAAATTTGTTGGGTTCTAACCAAGCAGGGCAGGAGAAGTGTTTCCATATTTTTCACGTGGTTTTTAAAATACTTTTCCCCTTTAAAATAATTCCCTTTACAAATTATAGATTATGAAGTATAGTTTTAGCACTCGAGTTATGTTCCACATCTGTGACCTGTTCAAGATGTATTAGTCAGACTGTATCACACAGAATGTGGGCAGTAAAGAAAAATTAACTGTAAACTAATGTTCCTACTTTTTAAACCGGGATTAATAAATGGTGTATTTTCACACTGCCACTTTTAATTGATTCCTTTTAAAACTCATCAGATACTTTGTTGTATTTATTTTGTTTGCTTGCAAAGACCATATTTTATGAAATATTTTTCTATATATTTTACAGATATTTACATACACTTTCTTTTCCAGTATTTGTATGTAAATTAAAATATACAGAATGTAGTCAACTTCTCAAAACCCAAGGGGAAGGGAGTAAAGGTCACTTAATTAACTTGAATTGATAAAATAATCTTTGTATGAAATTTTCTTTTTCAATTACCACTGGTTTTCACTGAATTTTTAACGTATAATTAACCTAAATTTCAAATAATTGCTTTTTTGTTTATTCCACTTTCCTTATTATTGATGCCTGTAGTCCTGCATGAGATTTCACAAAGCTGGGAAAGAGCAGCTGAGTAATTCTGGATTTTATCCCTTGTACTAGTCTGAAAAATAATTAGTCTGCTGTATATTCAACAGCCTAATTAAATGTTCATTTGTATTTGGCAGTTAAAAAGATTTTGACATGCAGTGTATTAGTCCGAGCCTAATGCTTGGAGCTGAACAAATATGGAAGCAGCTCTCGTCTGGCTCAGGAAACTGGTGACCTAATTTGTTCTCATTAAGGGAAAAAATTAAGGTTTGATCCTGAATGCTTTGACATCTCATTACTCTGAGTGACAGTGCAAGAAGGAACATGATAAATAAGCTGTAGATAAATAAACCTGTGGGATTGCAGCGGTTCATATTTGTCACACCTCTCTGTGTTTGTGGTTCAGGTGCTGCACCACGAGCTGCTGGCCATCAGAGAGGCTTGCATTAAACTAGAGAAGGATTATCAGCCTGGAATCACATTTATAGTTGTGCAGAAAAGGCATCACACCAGACTCTTCTGCACGGATAAAAACGAACGGGTATGTTCTGATTGTGACCAGCACGTGTCCAGCAGGCAGCCAAGGCACCTGTTGCTGCTGATTTTTGGGACTTTCTGTGTGGAGAGGAGACTCCCCAAGCCCAGGATGGAGCTACTGCTGGGAATGGAGAGTTCCTAATGGCAAATCTCTGCTCACAGATACGGCTCTTCATGTTCTCTTTCCTTCTGTCAGGCTTCTCTGTGGGAGCACTTGAAACCCACTAGATTTCAAGGCAGTAATTATTAACTTCTAATGCTGACATGAGGGTAGTTGTTAAATTAATAAATGCTCTGATTACAGTTGTTAAATTGTTTGAAAGTAAAGAGTATTTTTTTAGTTCTGCTTTGAAGAGTTTTTGAGGGAAGAGGCAGGCTGTCTGATAACTGAGGATTGTCCCCTCTCAGGTATAAACAGGAAAAGTTACAGAGGAATAACCTATCCTGGAGTGGGAAGGTGAAAAGAATTTGACAAATCAGTTGCAGAAGCTCCTTTTGACTTTATTCAGAAAAACTGATCTTTTTAGATAATATCTAAGAGCAGCTTGTCTCTTTTTTTCCTCCATACTAGAGACACTGCAGATTTTCACTTGAACAAAATTTCAGTTTTGCTCATTCTCCTTCACTTTCTGCTTTTTATGGATCTTTTTCTTGTGTTTTTTCCTTGCTATAGAACTGAAAAGGAAAAAAAAACCAACTTTGTGTGCCTTACTGTCTGCATTTTCTCTTCCCACAGGTTGGAAAGAGTGGAAACATTCCAGCTGGTACCACAGTGGACACAAAAATCACCCACCCATCAGAGTTTGACTTTTACCTGTGTAGTCATGCTGGGATTCAGGTAAGGCATTTTGTGTGGGATGGTAACTTTTCAGCTGTTAAAGCACCTTTAGGCAAAATGTTGTCTGATGGCTTTTTGCCAGATGTAAGTTTGTCAAGATGAAAGTGCATTTCAATACGACCATTTAATTTCAGTAACAGGGATGAAATTCTAGAAAACACAATCCTATCAAAAAGGAGAAAGGGATTAGTAAGGTGGGGAGCAAGGAAGGAGGTTGTTTACCTTGCCTTTTAAAGGAAAGATTTGCAGAAATCTGTAGAACTGCTCCCTGTGATTTTTAAGGAAAAGACCATTCCGCTGCAGTTCTCCTGCAGGGGTGGAAATTTAAGGAGATGTTTTTGAAAAGCTGATGTCCCTGTGTGTCCTGTGCCCCCAGGGAACAAGCAGACCCTCTCATTACCATGTCCTGTGGGATGACAATCGTTTCTCCTCGGATGAGCTGCAGATCCTCACCTACCAGCTGTGTCACACGTACGTACGCTGCACCCGCTCCGTGTCCATCCCCGCACCGGCGTATTACGCACACCTGGTTGCCTTCAGAGCCAGGTACCATCTGGTGGATAAAGAGCATGACAGGTGAGTCCAGAGTTTTGGAATTCTTACAGAACTTGAAAGGAAGCAGGAAGGCAGTGGGCTTGCTAAGTCTGTAATCAGTGGTGTCCTCAGCAGTTTGAGGGGAAATTTTACTGGGGTGATTAACTTTTGACCATTCTGTTCAAAAGAACCAATAATACAAAAAACACCTGCAAGGAGAGGCAGATTAAACAGGGTTTCTCTTCCCCCCTCCCCCAACCTGTTGTGTTTTCTTTCCCCCCCCCCTTCTCTTGCAGTGCTGAAGGAAGCCACACTTCTGGTCAGAGCAATGGCAGAGACCACCAAGCACTTGCCAAGGCAGTTCAAGTTCACCAGGACACGCTGCGCACGATGTACTTTGCTTGACATGTTTTAATGTTTAGCGACTCCGTACGAGACAGAGTTGGATTCACACAAGACCAGCTGCACTTAGACCAACCCCAGCTCCAGGGGCAGCCAGCAATGAGTTACACATCTTAATTCCTTTCTTTCCCGTTTTGCAAGGAAGCCTTCCGTCCAGAATTTCAGACTTGATTACAAACTGCATTCTTGTACCAAACCCCACTATTGTTGGAAATGTGGTTTGCCAAAAAATCTCTAAGCTGCTTGGTATAAAACAGACCCATTTTATAATTAAATCAAGAGCTGCAATCTCAGGGCTTAGGGAAGGAAAAAACAAACAAACAAAAAACCAACAACCCAACCCACAAAACTCCTCATTCAGTTTGCTGTTCATTGAGTTGCTTTTAATAATTTGGAAAGATCTAATTCATACTAAGGTTTGATGAGCTAAAATGCTGTGAATTAGCTTTTAATGCAAAGCAAAGCATTTTTTTACTATTTATGAAGCCTTGATTATTCTAGATGAATTTACAAAATTTTTATTTTCAAAATAAGAGAGTGACAAAATCCTGGTTTTCAACTGTCTTATAAAGATTATTCTCAGATTATTCTCTGTGTGTCTAAGGGCAAATGTATTTTCTGAAGCTTGTTCTTGAATGTTTTTTATTGTGCTGCATTTGAAAATGTTTTTCATAGGCTAAAGATGAATTTAAAAAAAAAAAAAGAATAAACTTGTACCTAAGCTTTTAATAGCTCCAGTTAGATTGGCAAAAGAAAATGTGCCATTTAAAAAACTTGTAAAGATTTTTTTAAAAATCATACTGACAGCTAACTTTAGGATTTGTCATACAGGACTGTGACACTTACTTTCCAAAGTCTATAAAGAATACGGGTCTGTGGTGATAAATACAGTACAATCCTTTTTCACTGTAGTTTGAGTTAATGTAAATTTTATATATGTTTCACAGTATTAATGTGATAGACTAGATGCTATTATTTATTTTTATTTACTAAGGAGTGCTCATTATACTTCTGTTAACATATCAAAAATGCTTTGAACTTAGAAAGTGAAAACCTTCTCGTGGGGACATTTACTCTTCAAATGCAAAAATATGCAATCGAGGTGGTGAGAGCTCAGAGATACAAACAGTGTCTGTTGTAGCTTGGGATTTGTAGAAAGGCTTTTCAAACGTGCACACAACACAGCAGGTTTTACCTCTGCGGTTCAGAGACGCACACGAGACCAACACCCTCCGTTCATTCAAGCACAAAACAATTGTATTTTATTTATATGTTGAAGATTGGTGAAGCAGGAGCTCCAGTAGGGGAGAGTGGCTCGCTGCAGGTTGGACAGAAGTCAGAGAATCTATGCAGTAAAGATAAATCGTAGGAAAACTGAAGTTTACTTAGGGAGGGAGGTGAAACTCTCTTCGTTATGCATGAGGTCCATAGGAAATGTGAGAGTTTTGCCATTCTCTGAGGAGAAGCATTAATTACAACTGATAATTTCTAGACAGACGCTTCTGTTAGTTTGCACACTGGATTCATAAAAACCATAACACACATGTAAACCATTGCACTAATTACAATGCCACAGGCAGGTTTAGGAGAAAATGGAAAAAGCCCAAAAAACTTGTTTATGCTGACTTGATCTTGTTTGTTTTGCCATCGGAAAACTGAAATAACGTGCTAAAGAGGCAGGTTTGAAAATTTTCATTCTCTTCCACTGGTGGATTTTGCTTTTTTTCCCTTTTCTCTGAGCAGCTGCTCAGTCTGGTTTGGATACTTTTACCTCTGGCCACTGGGACGGGCGAGTAGCTTTAACCCACACAGTGCTCTGGGCCATGGAGCAGATCCACTGCAACCAGTTGTTGTTGGATAAGCTAGAAAATGCCCAACCTTTGCTGCATAAAGACTTTTAGGTACATAATTTTGTGCAAGTTCAGATCTTCACCTTGTAGCAGTTGTGTTGGTTGTTGGTGTTTTTTGAGTGAGATGTAAAAACTATTAATGGAATCATTGTGTTTGTATTTTTCTAATTTGGTGATTAGGCTGCTGGGGCAGAGTGTCTTCTTGGTTGTAGTTATATAAATTGAGATTTAAAGCAAATCTTAAGCCAAGCTTAGGTAGCACTGTCTGTCTTGCTGTGTCCCAGCCAGGTTATACCTACCTCCCCCCAAGCACCCTAAACTGCAGAACCTTCCCGTGGTGGGTGTGTTGCACTTCCCTGTCTTTCCTTGAGAGGTTTCCTATTTCAGTGAAGATTTTAATTTGGCAAAAATTTTTATATAAGAATTATTTTTTTATATGATATGTTCTTAACACATAGGTAAAAGACCATCTGTTTTAAGACACCATTTAGTTTATCTTGCTGTCTGTTATGCAGAGACCTCTTGGATGTGAAATTCATCCCCCTCTTTCCATGCAGATCTGGGATAAATGACTTGTACAGGTGGTCAGATGGGGCAAGGAGGGCAGGATCTGTCTTGACCTCAAATCTCATTTCTGAAGCAGACTGTGGGACTTCACTGCATCCTATTTAGGATGTTTTCTTTGTGAGAAAAGGTGTTTTAAGCAGGCCCTTAATCTGAGAGTAGCTGTTGTCTGTGTATCTTCTTGGAATTAGCAGAAATTTTGTGTAGCTTTCCTTCCCTGAGTATGAAGAACTTGGGATGGTTATGTGCATTTCAGGACATTTTTACCCTTTACAGATCTTTCTAAGCCTCTAATACTGCTAATTCTTTATGCCTTGATGTCTCCCTCCTTTCCCCTCCCACCAGTGATGAATTTCTGAATAATTTAAAGCATTTTTCTAAAAAACACTGATTAAGTATATACTTTGAAAAGTACAGCATGCTGGCAGCCCAGCAGCTCTCTTTCTGGGATTATTCTTAATATAAATTACGTATTCAGGAATGTCTCCTGTGAAAAAAACCCACCTCAAACACCTAAAATCCTATTTTTTTTCCTTACCTCCCACGTGTTTGGTGTAGAACAGCAACATCTCAGGTCAACACAAAGCTGAAGAAGTCTCAGTCTCACCCAGGTTCCTGCTGTAGCAGTCCCAGTTGAGGTCACAACTGTAACCACTGTGCAGCTCAGGGCAGCAATAACCAAACATGTCACCCCCGGGCACTTGGGATATTTTCCAGTCATGTGACTCCCACTGCACAGCCCCCCAAAAACCAGCATCAGCAAGGACAAAATGCTCCCCTTGGGAGGTAAAAAGTACTATCAGCAGATGTAAAACACTTAAAAGTTCTCTCTTCCCCCCCCCCAATGTGCAAAACCTAATGCAATAACAAGGTTTGCCCGGTGGTGGAAATTTCTGCTCCAGTGGCTGAATAGAATAACGTGTCCAATTCCATCTGTTCTAGCACCCAGGGAACAGCTGAGTTGATCCTTAGGAGAAAATGTCCTGCTGGGAAATGCTGGAAGTAGGTGGATTTGTCTCTGCCTTTCTGTGAGTTTGCATTTCAGACAGCCCCTATGCAATGTAACCCTTCAGTGTGTGTGTGCACTGACGGACTGAGGGAGATCACTTGTTTTATCAGAGCTCCTTATTTTGGCTTGGCTTGGTTTTGAATATTTGACTTTGTGAATCACAATCAATGATCTTCTGTGTCCCAGGAGCTTTGGCACATTAATCCCCTCATTTCTAGATCTGTCAGGGTCGGCTGAGTTTGCTCTTTGTTGTTAGGGAAGGCTCTTCTGTCTTAATCTGCCGGGGCCAACATGGAAAATTTACAGGAAACTTATGTTTAAAACAAGAAATCCATAGTAAATACTTTTGAAATCCATAACAAATACCTTTGATCTCCTTTCAGGCCCCCAGGCAGCGTTCCCTGATTGTAAAAGCAAAAAGGTTGTGAAGGTTTAGCTTTAATTCTGCCTCTGGCAGTAACTCCTGCAGCCTTCGTCCATTTGAACAGTGTCTTGTTCTTGTTGGAATATTTTTATAACATGAGATATTTCCACAAGGGTTTTAAAATTTAAACTCTAGGTGTGAGGAGTTTGGAGTTTTGTGTGCCCAAGTTATTTTCTGAAAAGACTGAAGTTTCTAAGATGCTTCTAAGGTTTTTTTTTGTACATATGTCCAAAGGCTTTTGATGAAGTTGAAGGTTTTGATCTGAGGGCTTTTTGATTGCTGTTAGGGCTCTTTGCTTTGCTGCAGCAGCTGATCCCTCAGACACAGGCTCACCTGTGTCTCACCTGTAGGAACCCCTATTTCCTTCATGCCCATGAATCCAAAATTTAACTGAGAGCAAGACCAGGAGTAAGGCCTGTGTTAACACCCCCCAGCCAAATTCAGTGGATTGTTGTAGGGATTTTAGTGGACTTGCAAATTGTTTCTTTTTGAGGAAAATGTTGATCTTGGGAGAGAGGAGAGGTTGGTTCTGCAGGTTCTGCTTATTCAGGACTGCATGTGCTGGGAATGCAGGACTGGGACCTTTGGAGATCAGATGGATATACTTGCTCTGGACTCAGTCAAATAAGCATCTCTGGTGGCATAAATAACCATTAGGGACTCTTGTGTTGTTGTGTTTTTTTTTTTAGGACATCTTTTACGCATTAAATAAATGAATGTAAGAAGAGTTCTCAGTATTTTTCACACTCGAGACCAGTGTAATTAAAATCACTTGTTTTCCTGGTTTTTTTAGTGTTCTTCTGCCATAGCATCTCTCTTTGTGTATGAGTCCTGCCAGTGTGGCTTTCCCCATTCCTAATGCAGGGCAGTCCTTTGTTTTTTACTTTTATATCCATTTGGTAACATGCTTCTTCATGCACACTTGCCATCTTTTCTAAGGAGAACTTCCAAGTAGAAGGTAATTGCACTGATTTGTTTTGGGTTTTTTTTTTAAACTCTCTTTTTACTGTAAGACTTCTTTGTGTTCTTTGAGGTTTTTTTGCATCTGCTGTAGCTGTTTAAAAATACTGTAAATAGTGCTCTTACAGCAAATACTGAAATGCTGGGGATACCATTCCTGGTTCTGTTTTCCAGAATACGGCCATATTTTACAGTGTCGAGATACAAGCTTTGGTGTTTAAATGTTGTTGTACTTTGACTGCATTATGGTGTCAATTCAAGAAGGGCACAGTTGCTTTATTACAGTGGAAGTATTTAGGGTTTGCCTGAATTTATAAAACATTTCTTTCTTCTCTCCTCTGTGCATGTTTCTCCCGCACCACAGGGATGCAGTTTTTAAGCTCTCCCTGTGCTCGCTGCCTGTGCAATGTTCCAATGCCAATTTTGGTGTCAGTGAGATGACTAAAAGCATTAATGAGATATCTGGATTATCAGCTGTAGCTGTCACCAGTTTTTCTTGCTTATTCCAGCAGCTGATCCTTGTGTTGTAGAAGCAGAACCAGTTATGTGGCAGAATTAGTGGAATAAGAGGGATTTGGGATCCGCATTACGGTGTCTTGCCGTCTGTCCCTCCGTGGCTGTGGGATTGGGGACTGCAGTGGATGTTTTAGTGCTCTGAGATAAGGAGTAGTGTTGGCTCTGGTTGATTTCCCATCCCTCAGCAATTGCCTTTTGCTTCCATATGCCTCAGGAATGGGAGAGACTCCAACTCCAGCCCCCTTGTCCAGAGTTAGGATGCAAACCAGCCTGGTTTTGAGGGTTAATGATTGGAAAGATGCATTTCTGAGGGATGTGTGAAGGAGGTGCTGTGTGTGTGTGGTGTGGCACAGAATCAGTTTGATCCCAGTCAGTGTTCCTGTTGCTCTGTCACAGATGTTTCTTTGCCTGAAGTGTTGATATGAATGTAATTGCTTGGCCAAATCACTACAAAATGGGTTTGTGACACTCCTTAGATACGAAGCAGGTGCAGTCCAAGGCTACCTCCTGTATTCCTTCCCCGGTGAATCAATTTAAGTGAATTTACCACTAAGCAGCCAAAA